TTCATCCTTCTACTTTTCCATTCTCTCAAGGAATATTATTGCCCAAGCATTTCTGACTCAAGGGCATATGTTTACATATTCACACACAATTTAAAAAATATAATACATGGACTATTTTCAGTGCCAAATGCAGCTGTAATTATGCATTTATTTTTGACATGTTTTATGTTATTAAAGCATGTAAATACTTTATCTCCCTCAAGTTTTCCAGCCCTCTGTTGGCAGTCTTTTCTTTTTCCTTTCTCTTTCCAAAGCATCTAATACAATTTCTTGAATAGACAGTCAATAAACTTGGTTGCTGAGGGTTCACCTTTTCCCAGCATAGTCTTTGAAAATAATTTCATCTCCTTCCAGCAATAAACAACTCTGACTTCTTTTTATTTTGCTTATTTCCCTACAGAGGTCTTCTATTTCTCACCCTAAATTTCTGCCTTTTCTTTCTGCTATCATATCGAAAATTCCCATGTAAGGTCAAAAACTACATTTAATAGATAACCTACCATAAATCATCCTACATTGCTGTAAGAGTAACAAAACTTTTGTCCCAATCACCAAGAAATGAAATGTCAATAGTATTCCTGAGCTCCACCCGTCCACTTACAAATATCCCAATTAAGCAGGCAGTTTAAAAGCCAAAGCTCCTCGACTAGAACTGTTCTTTTTTTCAAAAGTTATAAAACAAAACAATGTACAATCTTTATTAAGCAGTTATTTTTAGTTTGCTGATCTATAGAGTAGATACTGCACTGAACATGCTTCAACGTGGCACACTGTTTTCAGCACATCTGTGACACAATGCAGAATATTCTTTGTGTTGTGCCCTCAGCAACTGAAAACATGCACACATGCACACACACACGCACACACCCTACATCCAAAGGCACTAAGTTAACTACATATTGCAAAAAGGAATGATCTCAGCTTCTCTTCTCTCAAAGACACTCCTGTAATTGTACCCACTCAGGGGCCCTCCTGCTGCTGCTGCTGCTACAGAAATATTTTATTGCCCTGGGAACATCATTTTAGGCCAGCAAGTCTACCACAACCTTGTAAATATCCTTGCCTGATGAACTTTTATCACTTTCTGACCTATATTAGCATATCCCATGGTATCAAATGAATTGAATGTGCTGGCAAATACTCCTTCTCCAAACATTTCCACAGAACTCTTTTGCCATTAGTGCAGAAACCGCTATTGGAAGAGGTCCTCAAAGAGGATTTGATACATGGCACTAACTTCTGTTAATACCTGGGTTATCAATAGCTGGAGAGCTGCATACAACCATGCTGGGAAGAATGTGCAGGCAAATGGAAAGATTGCTGAAAAGCCATCTTTCCAATGGCTTTCAGGGCACTTGAATGATCACTTGAGTGATCCAGCCTGCACTGGGTTATGGCAGGGATTCTCTAGAGAAGGAAAGCCAAACCACAGGAGAGATGTGGGCGAGGGAGATCTCTAACTGTCCTTCTAGCAGATTATCCTGCAGCAAATGCATGATGCACTCACTTGGCTGCTTCCAAGAGGGAAGTGAGGGGACCCTGGCATTCAAAGTCTCATTATTGTCCCCACAGTTTAAAAGTTCTTAAGCTAATATGCACCAACCAAGCAGGAAGAAAAGCAAATAAAGACCTATTTATACACTAAAGAAGAGTAAAGGAGAACCTGTCTTAGGCAAAAGCTCAGGTTAGTAAATTAATACCACCCATCCCTCAACGGCTACTTTAAACAGCCAGTACTATTAGCTATCCAGAAATCTAGTCTGGAAGAGAGACGATAAGATCCGGAACAGGATTTAACTTTTGATATTATCTTTAAAAGAAAAAGAAAAAGAAAAGACAGACCAAGCCATAGTACAATATAAAACGTTTACTCAGTTATTAGTAAACTTTTAACAGTTTTACAAATGCAGGCAAAAATGCTTTGGGGGCAGAAAGCAAAATATTATAGAAAACTAAAAATCAAATAAATTCATACAGCTAGGGATTGGTGGCTTAGGTAATTGAACTGAAAGTGAGAATCATGGAAGAGAGCTACATAATAATTAGCTGCTGAGTTCTCTCATGTCACATACTCCCAAATCGAGTATTTAGCATTCAGCAGACTTATTAATGAATAAATGCCCAACTGGAATTAACTAGCACCTCACTCTGGAAGGCTGCTCTTGGTGAAAATGTAATATCCACCAGGCAAAGCAAGTTGATTGCTGGTATACGCTGGAGGCTGTGCTGAGCATCACATTCTTTAGAATAATAACGTATTACATCAAGTTTCGGAGCCAGTTTCACACCATGCTCCACACCCTGCTGCTGGACAACATGGAAAAGAAGGGTGAAGTTTCTAAACCCCCAAGAGACAACTTTCCAAGCTTCACAGTTGGCCTGTATTTGAAATACATTCAGTGGAGATTTGTTGTCTCACATGCAGGCAAAGTGCTTCCTGGTTGGAGGTTCAGAGAGACACAGAGATGAGGGAGTGGTCTGAGCCCGAGCAGGTCCCTCTGCAGGGACTGATCATTTCGTCCTTCTGACACGAGGCACACCAAATTGCCATGTGCTGCCAGTGACCCCCTTTTCTTGCACTAGTACTGTTATGTTTCTTTAAATTCAGTCTGCTCCTTAAGGAAACTCCCTGGCAAGTGAAAACAGCAGCAAAGGTAAAAGAATGCGGGGAATTTGGCTGCTGCCTGCAGTATTAGGAAGAACAGCAATTACTCAACTCTCTCCTAGTGTCAGAGGCAGAAATGCGCATGTGAATTTGGGCAAGTTTTGGCCTGTCTTTGCTCAAGCTTCTCCCTTTAAAGTCTCTGTTGCCCACCTACCTCAGGGCTGTAAGAATTAATGAAATAAATGAGAAAATGGAGAAAGTAAAGGTAGCTGGTCAGCACAGACAGAAATAAAGGTGTAAGCTGTACCCTGAATCCAGACTAGGCTATAGTTAATAAGGCTTAAAGACTGTAGGTATTTAAAAGACGTCACTAACTTCCCAGTAACTATGCTTTGCTGTATCCACAGCCTCCCCAAAAACGTAATTATGGAAGGACTTGATCTTTTCCTCTAAGCCCTTCCATCCACAGCACCTGGCAAAGAGTCATGTAGACTCTACCACTTTTTCCTGCCCCAGCTCTGCAAACACCAGGTAATATTTGACTCCTGCCCAGCACCTCTAAGTCATAAAAACATAGATCTTATGACCGGAAGATATCATCTGATTCCATTCCTCTGCCTTGAGGCAGGTAACTATTTAATTCCTTTTTGACAAATGAAGGCAAAGTGGAGCCAAGGGAAGTTGAAGGGGTTTTATTTTAGTCACCGAGCAATTAAGGGATGAAGGCGGATCCAGAAGCCACGGCTATTTTTTCCCCCTCCTTTATCATGCTGTTCTCATATACAAGAATGTTGTGATATTTACCTTCCTGAGCAGCCTCAAATCCTTTCTGAAACAAGCTAGGATATATACAAACACATTCATTCTCTTGATTAAAATATGGATTATTTGGTCTCTCATTTTTATGTCATAGGTAGTAGTAGTACATTTCCTTACAATTTCCCTGAAATATAAGAACTTAGTGGTTCTGAAAAGCACACAGCATACCCATTCTTTCTCAAACCATTTAAAAATCCTCCTACTTTGACTTCCAGAGATAAAATTGTCTAAATCCATCCCTGTTTTTCACTCAGACTGTAGATGTCCATACCCTTAGAAAAGCAAAGCTCCCAACTATGGAGACTGAGAAAAGGTTTTCCATGTCTGCATTTGATAAGATGATGGAATGTTCCACAGAATTATAAACAAGCACTCAGAGGGGACCAAGCCCATACATCCCGCATGTAAGATTCCTCACAGGTTATAAGGTCCGATGTGGTCCATTGAGTTAAGGTCAAACATCCTCAAGGTAGCTTTTCCTTATTTTGTTAGGTCTTTCGAAGTCTTAAAAAGAGGTACCACAGCTCTCCAATACTGAGATGCCTTTTGTTTTATCACAGCTGTGAAACGTTTTGCTCGTGGCCTTTGGATAGAAGCTAAATAAGTTACCTCTCTTAGACTGGGATTCTGAAGGCTCAGGTTTCATTCTGCCCTGCCAGAAATTCCTTTCTGTTTTGAATCTGAGATGTTTGTTTATGGTTTTTGTTTTGAAATGCTAAATAAGACAGGCATAATCTCTAGTTACAGCCTGTATCTTTTTTTTTTTTTTTTTTTTTTTAAACTTTGCCATAGCCAGAGTAGCTGGTTGCTAAGGACTTAGCTAAAATTTCCAAAGAGTAGACTCTTCAAATTCTCTTCTCAGGAACTTGAAAGGTAAAATGACAACACCCTAAAATAAAATTAAGACAATTTTCTTTCTTAAATATGCATAAGACAAATGCTCTCAGGATATTTCAAATTAGGCTGTTATTTTTGGTTTTCACCAACATATTATTTAAAAGAAATCCTGAACATATTTTTGAAGTTTTTCTCATTTTCCTTGTAGGTTACATGTTTGAACATCAGCACTCTTGATAAAAGATAGAGGCACTACAATGAAAGGTACTAAAAGAGTTTCTGGAAAACAATCCAATTTCTATTACATGATAATAAGGTTTGCTTGTCAAGAAGAAAAAAAGTTGTAAACTACTGATTCCAAGGATTTTTTTCTTCATCAAGTTCTTTCTCCTTGTTCCACAATAGCCAATGAAAAGCATTGGCTTGTGAATTCTCAGGCAATAATTAAATATAAAATAAGTAAACGATAAAAATGATACTTATTTCCAGGCACGAAGAAAAGAGTCACAATTAAGAGTATGCAGTTCTGTCCTCCTTCAGTGGAAAACACTTTCCTCCACTCTGCCTACGCTAGGAACTAGAGACAAGGCCGTCAGATATCTTAGTTCTAGGTGTTCTTCCTTTCTAGCCTTCCTCAAAGAGTCTCCAGAGACACCAGAATGCTAATCCACAGTAAAGCTGCAGTATTAGTCCACATGAAAGATGAATATAATGCCTAGGATCAAGAAAAGCAGCGAAGATGTACTCTGACCTCACACCCTCTCCTGCTCATTCCGGGCAGGGCCTGCTGCTGCTTGCTTCCGTAACCCCAATGGGAGATCTCAACCCTGCCTTGGCGATACTCCCGGGGCCTCCAAGGTCTCCAGTGATGTCCAGAAATGCACAAAAAACTTCTCATAATAAAAGAAAATCAATTCACTCTCATGAAACCATATGCCATCAACATTAAAATGTCACCTTTTAAGAAATATTAATTTGAAATAGCTCTTTGGAGGCAAGGACTCAAACCACAAAATCAAGCAAACGTTCCCATTCTGCTGAAACTCCAAAAGGGCTGGGAATTACAGTCATGCTGGATCAAACCAACAAATGTTTTCTTGTCCAGAGACTCTGGACACTCAGCCCCTTTTTCTCAACACTTCACAGTCCCTTTTTCTCTGACAAACATGTGAGAGCAGAATTCCCCCTCTTAGCCCCCTTTTGAAGACACTTGGTTAAGTGTGGAAGAGGTGTGAGTATGTCCACAAAGTAGATTTTTTTTTTACTTACAGAGAGAGAAATCTAACAAAGAAGAAAATGAGGAAGGATGGAAACCAGGATGGAAATTAGAATTAATATTATTTTTTAAAAATCTATTTGGTACTAGGTATTGTACTAGCAATTATATATGAGACATATATGTATATCCTATATACATATAATCTTGTATATATATATGATTCTTGCATTCTTGGCTAGTCTACTGTTTCTTCCTCAAACGATTAAATGAGCTTTACTGGGGTTTCCAAAATCTTGGTACCAAATGTGCCATACGGAACACAGAGTCACAGGAACTTGCTTCACACAGTTACCTTCTGCTCATTTTACCACCTCTGACCCTGTAGTACTTACATGCTATAAAGCAGCACTGTCATCTCTCCTGCTCCCACCACAGCCTGAGATGTTAAACACACCCACACATTTTTCAGGAATTTCACAATTAATGTCTGGAATGTGTTTTGGATTATTCTTCAAAGGATGATCCAGTTGCCCTAAGATGAATTCAGTATTTTTCCCTTCTCCCTTTCGTCATTCTTCAGTCTGCCCACTCATTATCTTTTTAGGGTCATCTGTTTTTTCTAAATCCCCCAACTTCCTAATGCCTGTCCCCTGCATCTCCAAGCTGTACACTGATTCATCAAGATCATCGCATCTCAACCAAGCCACACAAAATGTAAAAACCTGCACCAAGTCACTAAATACCCCAACAAATGGATGTTATGCCCATAGTTGAAGGATTTTTCAGACAGTTTTCTTCATAGATTACCCTGACTGCTCATAACCATACTGCCAATGTATTGCTTATAAATTTTCCTAGTCACTGTTAAATATCTGTTAATGGCAGCAAATATCTCCAGACTTGCTATTTTTGCCTTTCTGACAGTATTCAATTCATTTGCCCTTTGTCAAGTGTTTTATGTGACAGGACTCCTCAATAACAGTGAGGATTCCATAAACCTGAGAGTCAAAGTGAAAGTCACTGAGCCCTGTCATTTGTATATGTGCAGTAAACAGCGGTCTCTCCATGTTCTGTCAATATTTACTTTGGGGAGGAACTAATTATTTCCTTGTTTACTTCTATTGGTTTCTCTTCTCATACCTTGTTAACATTTTCTAGGCCCCCTGCTTGCTTCTCTCTCTAGTACCTAAGAGCTCCCTCTACCTAAAGACTTTTGAGATGGAAAATGAAACCCATTACTCAAATACTTTTCTAACTCTAGTCCAGAAGTATTAACTTTGCCCTTCCTCTCCATTATTCAATTAGTAAAAATTAAAATGCATGGACTCTTACCTCCAAGTCCTATTACAGAGCAATCGATAAGCAGTTCCCAAGTGGCTTGTACACAACCTAATGTGTTGGTGCATAATCTGGACTCCTGAGCCTGCTCTCTAGGGCCTTACCTCAGATCCTCCACACATTTTCAAAATTTCAAAAAGAACAAAATTCTGTTCTTTGTTGTAAGTACCCACCACATAATACTTAGTTCTACTCACTGCCCCATAAAAAATGGGTGGAAGGAAAACTTAAAATAGCCAGGGGAAATAAAAGGAGAATTGATTTCTGAAAGAGGCAGTTTTTAGATGGCAGTAGTGAAAAACCTGAAAAATTAAATTCCATAGAGATGAAGCCACTGAGTAGATACTCACTGGGGGGAAAATGTTGGTGCTTATCTGCAGTAGCAGTCACCTGGATCTAATACAGCAAAGTCCTCAGAGCAAAGTGACTTAATAGTGTCCACTTGGTTCTTGTCTTGGGTTCAATGTCCCCCTAAAACTTAATCCCCACTGTAACTGTTCAGGGTGGGAAATCCTATTATGATAATTGAAAGGTGGAGCCTTGAAGAGGTGATTAGATTGTAGGACCATGCAGTGGTGAATGGATTTATAATGGCAGGCAGGGGCATGGTTTTGAGGGCTTTAAAAGGAGAGTGAAGAGGAGGCTGCTCTCTCTGCTCTGCCATTTTTCTCAATGTGATACCCTGTCGTCACTGAAGTCACCACCAAAGAAAGCCTTCACCAGATGTGTTTCTTGGACTTTGGATTTCCAGCCTCTGAAACTGTAAGCAATAAATTTCATTTTCTTTATAAAATACCCAGTTCTGTATATTTTGTTATAAGCAACAGAAACGGACTAATATAGTTCCTAATCACTCTGTTCTCACAAACTGTCAAACGTGAGCCATCATCTGCCCTTTTAGTGACCACAGAAGGCTGGTCATGCTCCCCCACTTTCTCCCACTCCTTATAGAAGCATAATGTACTATTCTACATAGGACAAAAAATGACCCTCATCCCCTTAGCTCAAAATATCACTCTCACTGTCCAATCAAAAGGGACTTGCTCCCTCCCAGGTGTCAGAAATTATTTTTCAGATTGAGAGAGAGCAGAGAAAACTTCAATAATAATAATAATAATAAAATCAGGATTTATTTAATAACAATCTAAACTATGCTGAAAAGAAATCCAAGTGTGTATCTCACATGAGTCACAGGACACCTCATGTCATTTAATCTTTCAGAAAATATTTTTTCTTGTGTTCTTTTTATATATAGGATTACTAATCCATTTACTCAATGTACTTTTATTACTGAGAGCCCGCCACGGGCCAGCATGCCTTAAAAACCTAAAGCACTGAGCAATAAGTTTAAAGGGGTCCATTTCTGCCCATGATTTATCTAACTCATTTTGTGAACTGCAGTTAAAAAACATGATTTTTTGCCTCCCCACAAAGCCAGTATGGGAGTAACACAAATAAAAATTACTGCAAGTTGGCAAACAGAGGATGGTAATTTGTATTTAAATTATGTCATCGAAAGCAGGTAGATTAGTCATGATAATATTTCTATGCCATGCAATATGTTTTCTCAGTGCAGCCAATTAAATAAGTTTTGAAAAGAGTTTTCATTAACAGATACAACCAGTAGGGGTCATTTTAGTGCAAAAATTGCAGTGAAAAAGACTAACATGAATAAAATCTATCAATTCCTATTCGTGCTGATTATGATAATCATGCTTTGGTGTGTAAATTTCTGAATAAAAATGGAAACTGAGGGAAAAATTGGTCACTGAGAAATTTCTTGCTAAGTAACGAAAAAACAAAAGAGAAAGTCATACCTTCTAGATTATTACTGACAGGTAGAGACACTACTCTAATTCTTAAATAGAAGGAGGAAAAAGGGTTACTTGCTTCTCCTATGCTCTCCACAAATCTTAGAGAGAAAATACTTGAAATTTTAGGCACACGATTGGAAATATCTGTCCAAATGTAACCATTATATCATGTCAGGTAACACTGTCCTTCTGACCTTAGTTTTAGAATGGATTTTAGAATGCAACTTGACTGCTGCCTTAAGAATTCTTAAAAAGAAAAAAAAAATGCCCCAAGCACACAATTTTGGTAGCTGAAAACAGGCTTGCTAAATGAAAAGTGTTTCTAGAGAATACTGAGATATAATCATGTCAACAAACACTTCCAAGCATTTTCAAGGCTAAAACCAAGTGCACAGGTGTTACCAGAGGAAAGGAAGCTATTACGGTCACATCATTTCAGAGGGATGAAAGGCTCACAACAAACTGCCAGTCTAACTCTACTCTGTGATGTGGGAGTAAGGTTGTTGCCAAAACATCTGATTACTGTAAACGGTCCTCTGAGCATTTCCTTCATCAGTAACATGTTAAGAAGAAACAAAACAAGGGTTAGCATCGTTAGAACTTCCAAAAGTCCTTCTCAGAGCCCAGCAGTTTCCACTGCATTTAACCTTGTTTCCTGTTGCTTGTTCTTTTCAGATTTAAGGGAGGCTGGATTGTTACACACTCCAAGAGGCAGGGTTCAAAGATGCATCTTTCAGTCTACATCCTTCAGAATCCCCCAAGTCAAACACCTAAATTTGTATCGGAAGTTAGTCTGATGGCCATTTTTCCTGATGTGAGACATAAAAACATGTTATAAAATGGGACTTGATACCAGGTGGGAGGCTGTTGTATTTCAGGCAAATGAACTCTTCTGACCCAATGTCCTAAGAGTGTAGCTCAGCACGTCTTTTCCCTCTGAGAAGAGTTCCCTTCGCTCAGTACTGCCCACTAGCTTCCAAAGCAGAAAGGCCTACCCAATTTTCCAGACCCGTCCAACCCTAAAAACTATAGGCATAAATAAATACGGATGGCGTATGTTTGTGTGTGTATTTAAAGAGAACCACAGCACTGGAGCCTATTAGTAGACCCATTTTTTTATCCTTAAGGTTGCCACCTCGTTTTTCAGTATCCCAGCACAATAAACACACACATAAGGATTCTTCAGAATAAACGCTTCCCTGGTCTCCTGGGTGCTGGCTGTGTGTAGCAAGGCAGGGACGCTGCGCAGAGGGCGCCTGTCCCTCCTCCTCGCTCCCCCAGAAATAAAGCTGCGCTCTGCTCACTCACCAGGATGCCCCTGAACAGCATCGTCAGCCCAACGTCAGCCCGAGCAGGAATCCCACCTTTAACTGGTGCTCACCGAATCATGCCCATTAGCTAAATAAAAAGAACTCAAACAGACCAGGCACCCCGAGGCCGAGGCAGCAGGGCCGGGATTAAGGCCAACACGCACCAACGGTGGTTCCCCCACGAGGGAGGCTCAACGAATCTAATCTTTTTCTCCCTCCGCCGGTCTCGACACCGCGGTGTACAATGCATGGTGCAGAAGCCAGCAGAACAATCCCCGCTGTCAAGCAAACAAAAAGAAGGAACCAGCAACACGCGAAGGTCTGATCTCAAAAAGCCGCCACGAACAGTCAGCAACAACTTTTCACTCCCAGGTGCAACCCCACCCCCTTTTCCTTACGGGAGAGAAAGCCTTTGACCATTTTCAATAGGCACATAAATGAGTAACCACCGTGTGTAACTTCCCCCGGGCTGACATATTCCGGAGCTGAAATTGATTTATATGCGCAGGAGGAGGAGGAAGGGGGTGAAGGAAGAGCGCAAGGGAAAAATAACACAAGAGTCGCACAGGGAGTGCAAGCTGGAGACACTTCGCCGCCGATAGAAAAGAGGACTTCGGCGGACGGCTTGCAGCACACGGTGCCACACTGCGCCAGTGCGGGGAGGGCGGCAGGGGCCCGACTCCCCCAGGGGCTCCCGCGCGGCAGCGTCCGCAGCGTCCCCGCCCGCGGCGCGCCCACTTTGGGGCGCAGGGCCGGCCCACCCAGCCCAAGCCCGAA